TACCTAGAACTGATGAGGCTGTAGCTTATTGGTGACCCAATCTGAGGTATTTGGCATTAATATACTATACCCTTTTCTGGAAAGCAAAATTTCACTCATAGAGAATGAACGTGATGAGCTGGACACATATTTAGGTAATCTTTGGGATTAGCCTTGCCCTTTAAGTTTTCATCATGTTCTTAAAGATTATACCTAAAAAGCATCGGGTATACATAGGAACCTCAGCCAGCTCATTTGGTTCCAAATAGGTCTTTTCCTTACCACTGCCTTCCTTAGCAAAAGTATTCTCCTCTACTTGTTCCTTTTTAAAACCTTCTTCATCATCAGAGCCTTCATCGTCAAAAGATTCAAACTCTTAATCAAGAGCAAAATTTTGAGTTAGAATAGTAATAAAGAGCACTACAACCTTAAAGAAAGAGAAAGGATGAAGAAACTCCTTGAAAGAAGAAGAAACATCAACTAGTGTTAACTGAGAATGAAGGGAAGAAATGATAAGAGCATTTATAGGACATGAAGCAGAAGAGAAAAAAGGTTGATGAGACTGAACCTTAAAAGAGAATAATAATAACAAAAAAAGATCGATCATAGAATGTGGATCAACTAAGAGATGGAAAAATAAGAAAGATTTTCTAAATCAAAATCTATCTGAGCGCACAGCTCATCCACATTCAGGACTTATTCTTCTTAAGCCAAAACATTTTTATCAATTTTTTGCTACCTTTCATTAGACATGGAGTTGAGCCAATCGGCTATTTTTCTATAATCCTGACCTCCGATGATTGGTAAGACTAGATTGTCGTCGTTGTACCTGAGCTGACCTTTCTTTAGCTCTACCCTGTAACTTTTTTCATTTTGAGAACTAATGCTAGAAGACATGATGGAAATAATATGCATCAAGGTAAGTGGAGAAAACAATTGAAAGAAAGAAAACTATAAGGTTGAAAAAGGTTGGAAAGCTTTTTAGGTTAAAAAATTTAGGTCGAATTGAAAGTAAAAAAGTAAAAAAGTAAAAAATGAATATGCTAACAACCTTTTATACAACTGGGTCCCAAATAAGATAAACAACTCAAATTGTGCCATGTGTTAAGATACCATTAGAAAGCATCTTTTCACCTTTCCTACTCTAAATTTATCGCCCAAACAACTTTTTTCCTCATTAAATGCGATCTCAACCACTTAAATCAATCAGATAAGCCAGACTAAACAAGACCCCAAGTCGAATTGTTTGGTGAATTGATGGCCAGGTCACCTCTAGAGTATAAACAAGGATTCGAGTTCCTAAAAATGTTTATGTCTTACATCAGCTAGATGAACTTCGTCAGTTGTCCTAAACCCCCTTGTCTTTACCTCGAACCATCCAAGATAGAGACACTTCAATAACTTCTAAACAAGCAATATACTTAACCTAAAGCACATCTGTAAGATCAAACCCATACCAAGACAACCCAAATTGAACCAAATAACAAACATAACCCTTTGATTCTTACCTTCACATCAGTCTCATGCATTTATGACCTTAGCCCAAAGGAAGTCGGATATTTGGCAATCCCCTTTAAGCCAACAACATATACAAAATAAATTAATCATATACCCAATAGTCTGATACTCAGACTACTTGGTGAGGGGACATAATATTATGGGTATTTAGTGGTCAAAAGGGCATTGCGGTCTGTTTCCCCTATTAGAGGCTGTCAACAAACAGTTATGGGCATTTTAGACATTTGAGTTGACCTAACATATCAAATTGGCCTGACACGTTCAATTTTACATCAACTTGTCCACGTCAGTATTGTCTCACATTAGTCCTCTACCTCTTACCTATAAATATGAACATCCAATTATTATCATTACAGGTTCCATCTTGTTCCAATTCTTTACTTTTCTCTCTTTCTAACCTCTCTTATTTTGATATTTAACTTACTCATTGAAGTCCAAACACAGAGAACACTTACTACCTTTGCATCTAACCATTCTTTTTTTTCTCTTATAATTTCATGAATACCTTCAGATCGAAACTCGGCACATACAATTTCCATCACTAAAAGTCATAAAACCCCAACATTCTTTATATATTTAGGTATGGCAAAAGCTACTGCATAACATAATGACCTATCATTCTGTTAAGCATCTAACTTACAATCAATTGGTAGTAAGCAGAGAGGCCTAACCTGAATATAAGGCTACAAAAAATTAAAAATTTATTAGATGTGGGATAACCCACTTTAACACACCCAACCACTTATTATACCAAAAAAAAATACAGTGTCCATTATACCCTAATTTTGAAACTACCTTTGGTCATTAAATCTCTACTTACACAAATATTATACCATGTATGAGAGTCAAAAGCTTTTTTGTGGCTTCAAGGAACATATACCTTTTCTATACTTGGCATATAAAAATGAGTTGAAAGTCTATTGTCATCATCCCCTAATAATTTCCATCCCAGCTTGGCAAGCAATGCTTTATTCATGTCTATTGTCTTCCTTATACCAAGGCCACCAAATTTTTTAGGTTGAGAGACCTTATCCCACTTCACCAAAGGAATTTTATTATGTCCTTTTAACACACCTCATAAAATATTTATAGTAAGGGCATCTTTGGCTACCTCTACTAGTAACTTTGTAGATTGCATAGTATAATTAATTTGTAATTGTACCAATAACTTAATAAACTAAAATAGTTCAACTTGCCAATGAGAGTTGATTAGCCTTCCTAGTACTTAACTTCATTTTAATCTTATCAATCAAATATCTGTAAGTCTTCCTTTTATTTAATTCTATAATTTTTTATTTTTTTTTACATTTGATTCATTTAACATCTTATAGTTAGATCATAGGTCCTAAATTGAAGTATTACTAGAATTTTTAAAGCTTATAAAAGATCAAATATCTCTTTGGGTTTTGTTTCTAATTACAAGAAATTTAAATATAGATTTTTGGTTTTTTTTGAATTTTTAAAATGTAATTCTCACTTCTTAAGTTTATTGAATTAGTCATGAATTATGAATGATTATGGTATACATAATGATCATGGTATATATACATTATGTGTGTCTTTTTCTATTAATATATAAGTAAATTTTAGTTATTTATACACAATCTATGTAACTATAAATTATCAAACATATTGTAGTGTAATTTTTTTTAACTCTATAAACAAGATTTCTTCAAGGTATATTTTGAAAAATAAAAATTAATTAAAAAGAAATGAGACATATGTTAATCTATTAATTCTACTTGTAAAGTTAAAAATTTTATTAACAATGTATCAAATAATTTCTCTTTAATATATTATTATTTTAAAAAATAAAAATATTCACATTAGTGACCGCAAAAAAGCATAATAAAACATAAAAGCAAGCATTTTTTTTTAAATAACTTAAAAGATCTATAATTTTAATTTTTATGACTAAAGATCTATTTAAATGACATGATTTTTGCTCGAAATCTAAATCAAATGAATATACTATTTACATTAAAAGAATCTTTAAAGGATCAAGGAAGGGACACATATACTAACATTTGAGTTTTTTTAGTTTTTTTAGTTTTTAAGTGGATTGTATATTTGGCTATGGGTTTTTGGTTTTTTATATACAAAACTCTAAAATAATTTGTTTATTTGTGGGCTATGAATTTGTAATAGGTTTTTTGGGCTGAATTTTAGGTTAAGCCTTTTTAATTTAGACTTTAAGATTAGAAGTTAACTGTGCCAAATAGAAAATATATTTTAAATCTAAAAGTGATGAGAAGATCCTCATAAAAAGTGAATAGAGGATCCAAAATTTATTTTGTTTGAATATGTTTATTATTAAATAAAAAATAGCAAAATATTTAAAATGTAATAAAGACTAAACTAAGAAAAATAAAAAATATATTTTTTATTTTGCACACCAAGTTTCCAACCTTAAAGCCAAATAAAAAATATAATAAGACCTAAACTAAAAAAGTGAAAAAAATATAATAAAGCCTAAATTAATAAAATGAAAAATATGACTTTTAATTATATGAATTAAACATAATGAAACAATAATTATTTAAAAAAGTATTTCTTAAAAAAGGATTTTTTAAAAAAAGTTAAATGTGTCATTTTTTTAAATATTTTCTGCAATAAAAATAATTATGGATTTTTATGAAAAGTGTTGAGAGGATCCAAACTTTATTTTTGTTTGGATATGTTTATTATTAAATATAAAATAGTACAATATTAAAAATATAATAAAACCTAAACTTTCACAACATAACACAAAAAACCAAAAACAAAAATGTAATAGTAGCATATTAAAATTTTTAATTTTAATATATTTATAATATTTAACATGTAGATTTAATTTATTATTATTATTTTTAAGTTAAAAACAATCATGTATACAAAAAATAATGAAAAAAACCTTTAATAAAAAATAATCAATCCTTACTAAGTGGGGCTGAATTCTAGTATATATAAAAAAGATAACGTTATACCTCAAAACTAAAAGAAATTATATTTAAGAAACTTAAAGCAAGTAGTAGTATCATATTAAATTATCATATTATTTGAAATATTATTTAAAGATAGAACTAATTTTTCTCAAAAAATAATGTTTATTTGTGATAATATTTTAAAAATATATAATAATGTATTTTTTAAAAATTTTATAGAAAATAATATATCAAATATATATTTTTAAAAAACATTTTAGCTATTCTCTTTTGTTTCTGAAGAAAGCTAGTCTTAATGTTTTTAAACACTCATGAACCCGACCATTGTAATAATGTTAATAATCCAACTTATAAATTTTGTGACTAAAAGAAAAACAGAAATAAAGTTGGAGCCACACAGCGATATTTTACAGAAGTCAAGGGTAATAAATGATATTTTGAGAATTCTCAGGGGCATTTTTATTAAGTTTAACGGGTTTTTCGGCCGAAAATTCGAAAGTGTTTTTTTGGGCCAAAAAAGCTCAATGGGTTTAGGCCAGCATGTTTTAACGGGTTAAGTCGGCTATAAATTAGTAGATTCAACCTCTTCTATTTTCTCGTATGGTTAGGGCTTTAGAGAGGAGAAGCAGAGGAGGGAAGTAAAGCTTTCCGCAAAAACCCTCGAGAATCCACACTCTCCAAAGTTTCTTTAGGACGATCTACAATGGCGGACGACGACTATAATGACATGGATATGGGGTTCTCTCTCTCTCTCTCTCTATATATATATTTATATTCATTTCTTATCTTATTTTATTTTTATGTATTACATTCGACAATTTGATTTTTTTTTCCAGTTTATGTTGAAATTCGGATAAACAAAGGAAATCCAAGAAGTTGGTTTTTTTTTTTTTTTTTTTTTTAGCTTTTGTTCGTCAATTGTTTGAGAAACCAATGTGGTTTTTCTCTTCAAAAGTTTCTTGTTGGGTATGGAAAATTTTCTTTTATGAACCCTAATTTTCTAAGCAACCAAACAGAGGGTAATTTTTTTTTTATCTTTGTTTTGCTTTCGTCCTTACTTTTTTTTTTTAAAGGATTTCGTCTTTACTGTTAAAATTGCAGCATTGTGTTTCTTTTTGTTTCTCAAGAACTTAACTCTGGCTTGTTGAAATTGTTGCTACAGATATGAGGATGAGCCACCAGAGCCTGAGATTGAAGTTAGGATCCATTTATTATTATTATTATTATTATACATTGTTTGCTTAAAGAGATCCTATGTAATTGATAAAGTTATTTTCTGTCCGATGAATTGTCTTTATGGTGGATAGGAAGGAGCCGAGGAGGATTTGGACAACAATAACAATGATGATGTTCCTCTGGAACCTATTGAAACTGAGGAAAAGGAAGACCAGGATGCTAAAAACAAAACTACTCGCAAGACATCAAAGTACATGACCAAATATGAGCGTGCTAGAATCTTGGGTACCCGCGCCTTGCAAATCAGGTTAGCTTAGTAAACTTTAGATTCTTTTCTTTTTTTTTTTTTCGAAGGGGGGCTGGGGATAGGGTTTAGCGGTTCCAATTCTGTTTTCTGCTTTAACAAATTTTTTTTCTTGAGCAGTATGAATGCTCCTGTTATGGTTGAGTTAGAGGGTGAGACTGACCCACTTGAGGTATTATCTGCGTTTCTTGTTTTCAATGCCTCCTTGTTCTATTCTTCCTTCGAGAAAATTGATAAAGCTGTAGCTGTATCTTAGCTTGATAATAAAGCCAGTTGAATGCTTTACGTGACTGCCACACTGTTTACCTATTTGACAATACATGTTTTGAATATTAATATGCATAAAATGGACATCGGCCTCTATTTCATTATGTTCTTTTATTGCTCTAAAGTTTTTAGATTGTATGAAGGGAATCGGACTCTAGATGCATTTTTTACCTATGATTTATATAGAATTGAGACTAAAAGAAAGAGTGAGGGATGACTATTTTTTCTGAAATACTATTTTCTCCAACTTAGTTTTGGAGGGTGTAACCCTGTTCAAACTGTCTACTGTCATGTTATCCACAAGGCTCCTTCCTCCTTTTAGCAGTCAGTGTGCAATATACACATGATACTGCTAACAATATTTGAATTGGTTTCTTGTATCTTGTTTTTCATTGTGGCCCTATTTGTTCCTCATTGTGGCAGTTTCTTTGCTGGTCACAAAATTTATAATTTATCTTCTTTTCTTGGTCTGCCTGCTTTCCAGTATCCAATGCCTGACCTTGAAAATTTTAAAACTCATAAGAAAGTTGTTTATGGTCACATTTCTGTAATTCATAATGATCTACGTCATTAGACTGAGAAAACTTCATGTCATTTATCCAACAGACTAATATTATTTTACTTTTTCTTTGCTATAACTCTTATTCTTTTGCATATATGTTAGATTGCCATGAAGGAGCTTCGAGAGCGGAAAATACCCTTCACCATACGGCGCTACTTACCTGATGGAAGGTGAGATTTTGTTAAGAAAGAATTCTCTTCTAGTATTCTACATGGGAGCAATGGATCATCAGGCCTTAGCTACTAGTTTTGCTTTGTACTTCTAAGGGAAGAATGGAAAGAAAACAAGGAAAAACAAAGGTGGTGGGGCTGTGGATTGTGATCATGTTTTTATTTACTCGCTTTCTTTTTAGCATTTCTGATTAGCATTTGGTTCAACATTTCAGTTATGAAGATTGGGGAGTTGATGAGTTGATTGTTGAAGACTCGTGGAAGAGACAAGTGGGAGGCGATTGATTACAAGTCATTTGTTAATGGAGGAATATGGATGTGCTAGTTGGGTTGTGTGATTGTGGTATGTAAGAGTCGCATTTGTTAATGGAGGAATATGAATTGTGTTCTTACTTCTAGATTGTTGTGTGGTTGTGGTAACTCTTAGATTTGGTCTGTAAATTTAAAAGGACTAATTGAATGAATCCTTTCGAACTATATTAGTAAGACTCATTTTAAAACCTGTTCTGCTTTTGACTTAAAACAACATGAATGTGGCTTGTAATGGCCTTCAAGTAGGATAAAGCCTTTGAAATTTGTTAGAGATTAGCCGTTTCGCATGTAACTAGGAGGTTTTCTTTCCTATTAAATCCTGTTCTTGGAAAAAAAAAAAATTTTGGATTATTTTCTGTCTTAACCATTTTCTCCAGAGATTAGTCCTCTTTCATGAGTTAATAACAATGCTTACAATCGCAAAAAATGTCTCGAATTCCATAGATGTGATGATACCCGATAATCCTTTAAATCACATCTTGAGGGTTATTCTGCTTTTAAAACCACGAAATGATAATTAAGGTATAATAAGTTTATTGGCTATATATTCATCTTTTTGTGAGAAAATCATCAGTCATCACTCCTGATATATTAGTTTAACATTTGAGGAAAATCCTAAAGAAGATGAGGGGAATATGTTACTTTCAAATTTAAAGAAAATGACAAGGGTTCTGCTATCAGGATCCCTAGGAAACATCCGATAGGAAGCAAAGAATTACCAATGCTAAGGCATCTATTTCACCACCATTAATGAGTTATTTTGAGATGAATTATTTGAGTTATTTTCAAATTTAAATAGGTTATTAAACAAGCACAGTGAAAATTTGTTTCCACGCTTGTGAATATTGATATTAAACACTGGTCTAATAAAAATGCGAGTCTGAGGCCGAAGAAGAAGAAAAATAACTAATTAGTTGCATTTGCTTTAAGCTTTCGGTATTTGCTGTATCTTTTGGTAATACCAAACCGGGAGACCTATAGGGTTTTGATTTGGTGTCTAAAGGATTTTTTTTTTTTTTAATATATGTGAATAACGATCATGTGGAAAGACGTATCACAAAATAGTGCTAGTTATTGAGACAACATTTCAAAAACCTGTATGACATGTTTTTCTATGAAGCTGACAATATACAACAGATATACCATGATCAGGTGCCCCCGAATTTCATTTCTCTTTTTGTCCGAAAACAACACATCTGACTAGGTTTACCACCCTCCTACTCCTCTTGGCTCCTCTTCTTCATTCGAACTGACTTCTACTTTTGAGGCTACAAAATAAATTTCTTCAAGATGGGGCTTTCCTTTCCATTGTTTTTAGGAACTTTCTTTTCCAGAATATCAAACGCATAGATAACAGTTACTCATATGGAGATAATCATGAAAGCGGTACTTATTTGGGGGAGTACTCAGGGCATACATCATATGTAGCTCTAGCTAGACACCTGCAGGAGATGGAGGATGGTTTCAAGAACTCCTCATTACAGGTCAAAAAATCAATCGACTTTAACATGAATAGTACTTTGTGATTGCCTAAGCTTTATTTTTATTGCTGTATATATTATATATTATAAAAATTATCCTTTAAATTTTATAAAAGTGAAAACAAAAATTTTATATTTAATTTATTGTCGGTGTATAAAATTTATATATTATTGAGAGTTAATAAAAATCTATTTTTAATACTTAATGAAGTGATATTATTTTATTGATTAACAATATATAAAATTTATATATTAACAATATATGAAATATAGACTTATTTTTAAATTATATATAATATTAAAAAATGGCGTTTTAGAAATATAAAATAACCTTGTAATGAACTTTAAAAAAAAAAAAAAAACTGATCATCCGCTTGGCAAAGAGCAACCGACTGTCTTATCAATAGTTCATGAACAAAATTTGGTCACTAAGCTATGAATGACATTTTTGGCAAAAAAATAGGCATGAAAAATCAAGAGGAAATCTATTACTCTTTCCCAGATTGCTTGGGTAATCAATTACCTTGAGGAGCAATCGACTGTTCTAAAAATTCAAAATTTTTGGATGTTAGACGTGCTCTTTCATTCTAAAGATGATTTTTCTTCGTTCAAATGTGCCTATTCGTGGAGAGGTGTTTAAGACATCTTACTGTAAAGGAAATTCAAGGGGCATTATCTTTTGGTTTATGACTCATTAACAAATGACTAAGCTTTTTTTAGTTGTCTTTCTTTTTCTCCCGTTTAACTCCCCTATGTCCCGCTATCCCTCCTCCTGGAGAAATGATTAAGCTACATTGCAAGGTAGCCTTTCCATTGCTGAGAATTCTATGGAGTTTTTCTTTTTCTTTTTCTTTTTAAAGTTCAAATTTTCTTTCCATCTGCTTCGTTCAAACAGCTCTAATAACTTATTGACAAGAAAACAGCTTACAAAAATTCAAGCTACCAAAGCCTGTTTTTTGCATCGGAGGATTCTTGCAAGTTAAGTTGCTGGGTAGAGTTCAGAGTCAAGAAATGGATGGTGTATATTATATATGTTATCTCTTAACTTCTGAGCAATATCTTGGATGATTTAAGGTTTTTTTTTTCCAATCATTAACGTACTAGAAGCTGCTAGCTAAGGTATCAGAATAAAAAATCAGTACCTTCATTTTGTGACGGTATGTGAAGTGAGCTGAAGCGAGGCATGTTGATGCGCACTTCTTCTATCAGTAAAGAAATTAATTTAAGATGTAGTTTTAATTTTAAATGAAGCAGGGCTAATGTTAGAAACTGTTTACCCTCTTCGGCCTGCTCTGAATTAACTATGAATCAATCAAGGCCCAGGATACCATAGCTTTTCTTCATTGAGATTTAAATTGCAAACCCTGCTTTGTTTTAGGCATAGTCAAATTAGAATAACTATTTCTGAATATGTAAAATCGGTTGACGCTGTGCAGTATCTCCCATGTCCAAATTGTTGGACGGCTACTTTACCAAGATATGATGCCCATAGGGAGGTGTGCTTTGAAGTACTTGCCTGAAACAGAAAATGTATGTTTTCTTCAGGTTACATAAAGGGACAATGGTGCATCTTCTCTTTTTCGTAGGTTCACTGCAAGATTATTACAGAGGCACAAGAAGTAGGGAACAAATTATATTGAAAACACAACTTCGGGCTGGGACAGCTGGTGCTAATGATGCGGATGACGAGCCCCCCCCCCCCTTTCACCCTGAGAAAATTGTTCATGACACAGTTTCCTCTACATTAATCAGATGCAGCAGACACCTGCCATCAATTTTGTTTCTGCAAATAAGAAGATGGTGCACCAGAAACACTGCAAATTTTTATCAAAGTTATACACTAGCATATGTTTGATATTAGTCGGTTCACAGAGTAAATGTCCATTTGTATTTGTCATTTTGTAGCTTAAGCGATGCAACTGAGCCATGATGTGAGCAAGATGTCAGCTATGAATCAAATGTAGTGACAATTTAATGACTATTTACTTCGTACTTTAGGGTGGTTACTCTTTTCTTAGCTGCCGTTAAAGCAACCCTTTTAGTCACCCACCGGAGGATAAATAACTAAAACCTATTGTAGTAGCCTCCGGACCTTCAGCTTCACCACAATATTTTGCTTAATTTTTTTGGCATCTAAGTTCCCATCGTTACGTTATTGGTCAAAATCGTAGCTACAGACATGCATTGGATTTGTTGTGTCAACAACATCGGGATAGAATGTAAGCCATCTGCTATGGATATTAGATGCTTGTTCTCTGTTTTTTACCCCATTCCCGCAAGTCAAGGGTCTCAAGACCACAAATATTGACGGTACAAGGAATCATAGAACTGGCCAGCGAAACATGTAAATATCATATTAATAAGAAACTCAAATTCGTTCAATAGATTACACTTGCAAGACTTGCTGGAAAACCTTAAAAAAGAAAAAAAAAAAAGATAAAAGGAAAACAAAAGAAAGGAAAAGGTCACTAAATACCAATTGAAGCACAAAACAAGTGATGTCACAACAATGTCATATAGGGAGGCCGGAAAAGAAAAAACAATAAAGAAGAAAAGGGCAGCTATTTCAAATATTCTGTACAAGGATTTGCCCAAATACTCACCCAGCACAAGTAATTGATTGGGCCAAACTATGCTAGTCATGCCTTCCAGTCATAATCCATATTATCGTCAAGGTCACTGTTAAAAAACCCATTTTCCGCGAACTCATGAGCTATATCCGGAACTAAATCATCCTGCAAATGGAGATTCTGAGTAAAATCAGGCGCTTTCTGGTTGAATCCATTGTTGCCACCAGCTGCTGAAGAGTCGCTGTTTGAAGCAGCTTTAAAACTGTTGCTTCGACCAGATGCAAGCCCTGAAACACTTCCAGACACATTAGAGGTAGCCGCAGCCGGAGCAGGGTTGTTGCTTCCAAGGCCCACTCCATTTCTTCCCACACTACCATTCCCATTCTGCCCACTCAGGGACTGCTGTTGAACTCCCGCATTGTTATTAGACATCTCATGGAGCAGCTGTTGGATCATTTGTGGTTGTGAAGCCTGTTTACCCTGGGAGGACTGCGGATGGTTCTGTTGGATTAAGTTATTAGTTTTTAACGTATGCTGCTGCAGTTGCTGCTGCTGTTGTGACTGTTGAGCAGGTAAATGGGGACTTGATAAGCCACTAACATGCAGGGTCTGCATGGATCCTGGTAACAAGGTAGCAGGCCCTTGGAAGTTTGAAGATGGACCCTGGTTAGAATTATTGAAGGAAGATGAGGCTTCCTGATGAAGTGACTTGGGGTTTGAATTCATTGAATTTTGCCTAAGGAGCAGATTCTGGTAGTTAGTAAGTGCCAAAGCAGCTTGTGCTGAACCATTTAAAGTTCCTCGACCAACCATGTGATGGTTGTTGCCCATTGTATTGTTTATACCAGGATGCAATGCCATCAGCTTATTGAGGGTATTCCTGTCAGTTGGCAGACCCTGAACATTTGCCAGCTGCTCCACTTCCTGTATTTTTTGCATTTGGAGCTTGGCTGCAGTGGCATGTCGAGGATAGTTTTTCAAGCCCTCTGCAAATATGGCGTTTAAGCAAACAGATGGTTAAAATAAAAGCTATAAATGGTTTTTTTCTTGATTCACATAAACTAAACCATAGTCCCTAACCAATAGGAAGATCAAACATAAGAACCACCAAAGTTTTAGCAGAACAAAGATCCAGAGATATGGAAATGGTAAGTATAAAAGCCACCAATTTCCCCTCAAACAATTTTCTTCAGTAGATAGCAAATTTCAAACTGGTGAAAACAGAAGGAATATAAGCAGTTCATTGTGAAAGAATCGGAAAGAAAACAAAAGGCTGTCCAAAAACTTCCGTTAAAAGCAAAGCATCCAAACATTCTCCCAAACAAAAGGAACAGAAAGCAGGTGATGCCAACAATTTTTATAAGGCTGATGAAGATTTTTCTTAAATAAAAAAATGAAGCACTAGCATGAGGCAGCTGAAGACCATTCTCATGTTACATAAAAGGCTTTACTGCCTCAAGGATACGTCTTAACTAAATACCAGCCAATCAAATAGAAACAATCTTGGAATTATTTCATTTTCTTAAATAAACAAGAGACGAAAGTATGCCGTATTATATCAGAGTTAGGGCAGTCGCCTACTATAATACAATTCCATGATTGTGGCTAGCAGATATGATGAACAAAAGAAAAATCATTAAAATGTCTGAGGTCAGAATGCCAAAAAGGCACAACTTACCAATTGGCCCAACCTTGTTTTCTCGACAAATATCTATCAGATCTTTCATGCTGTTGACAACCTCAGCAATCTAAAAAATTATGCAAAAACTAAAAGGAAACTCAGAAAATAATATTTATTTACCATAATTTAAATGCACAATGCTAAACTGTACCTGCAAACATCTCACATATCTTTTTGAAAAACCCAAGTCATTCAGCGACTGTAACTCCAGACTTTTCACAAGCTGTCGTCCAGCTGTCAGGACCCTGAGAGAAAGCAATCAATGTTGTATCAGCAAAATCCTAACGACCAGTTATTTGATCTAAGTAACATGCAAAACAAAAATAAATTACTCACTATAACCTATGTTAATTTAAAAAATATCCAGTCTAAGGTCCAACTAAAAGCTCAGTTAAAATCAACACTACTATTTCAAGACCCTGCAAAATCACTTTTTGGGTTGTGACCCTATAGCTTAATTGCACTGAGTAGGGTAAACCACATAACCAATCGGAAGAGCTTCACACTTCCAAGATTTCTCAAGTAATGACTTGGAGCAACTTACCTGCTTAAAATCTTAAGAATTCCAACTGAAAGAATCAGATAAGTAACATCAATTCAAAGAGTTAAAAAAAATCCCCATTTGTATGATTAACTCACATATTGCTGTTTGTTTGCAAGTCCTGCTGAGAAACCCCCTCAGATCCACCTTCAGAAATTGTGCTCTGACATTTTTGTGCCACCTGAAGTAACTGGTTTACCTGCATGATTTACAAGTTCAAGTTATATCATGTGTAAGAACTTAAACAAAATGAACATATGATCAGGAAATAGCAAACCCATAGGTAGTTTAAGATGTGTTTTGAACAGGGATAGCACAGTTAAAAGGAATGCAGTTTTACAGATTAAAGGAATAAAATGAAAGCAACAATTTACATTTTTTGGCCTGCTCCTTTTAAAGGTGCACGTCAACTGGGTACTATTTTGGTCTTTTTATGTCATTCTCCCGAACACTATCAACAGATTCAGAGCAACATTTATGGTGTGTCTGGATGGAAGGGGACTAAAAGAGAGAATAGTGAAATGGAGCAAAGGGTTTACCCTACCTTGTTTGTAACTTTTTTTTAATGGAGGGGGTGGACTTGGAAGTGAACTAAACCTACCTCATATTTGAAAATTGGAATGGTTTGAATTAAAGTATTCCACTTTGAAGCATTCAACTAGCACTTCGTTTAAAACACAATTTTCTTTTATTTTAGTAATGGTTTAAATAGAGATGCAATTGTAATAGCACATAAACTCTCTAGTTTACTCTACTCTACACTTCCAAACAAGGTAAAGAATACTTGTTCAGTGTACTCTTCTCACTTTTCAACTGATTTGCTCTAGTATCTTTTACCTTCAGGTCGCAAACAGACTGCTAAAATACTTCAAACTCCTCTGTTCATAGGAATTTAAGTACCATTAATATTCAAGCTCCGTGCTAAAAGTATGTCTTTCTTGTTCCATAGATCCCATACACAGGGCCAACAATTGGTATTGATCACTTCTGAAACAATAGAACCCCTCTAGAACTGACCTGAAAAGATCATCCCATGTATTTCATCCCTAAAGGACAGAGTTTCACATTTTACCCAACTACATTTATGATGTGGGATGGACATATGCTAGTTGAGGGATTGTTATCTAAGACTTTATTTCATATTTTACAGGTTTGATTGTAATCTTTAAATGTATTTAGGTTATTGTAAATCAATCAGTATTTTATTTCATTTTTTTCCAAGCGTTTGGGTTTTAGGGTTATATTTTATATTTCTCATTTTATTAAGGTTTTAGGTTTACCTATAAATACTGGTGTTATTTTAGTTTCAATTAGGTTTTGGATGAGGAATATTTGAGATTTTGAAATATTGATTATTGAGATTTCCTCCATTGATTCTTGCTGGTTTTCTCCCCTAGTTCTTCTGTTTCTCCCTCAATTTCCACACTCCCTCCCTAATTTTTTCTGTCTATTTCTGATTTTCCTGCTAAGTTTCTATTTCTTTCTTTCCCTGACTTGTTCTACGCCAATTTGGTATCAGAGCTAGGCAAACCAAGTAAAGAAAATAACATAAGGGTATAAGAACAGCAGTTGCAGGTTATGAGTAAAGATGTTGGCCATTGTTAATAACTTACAATTATCCTACTTATACAATTTCTCTTCTTCTTTAAAAACTCAACTACAACTTTATGTCCTATAAAACAATAATTATATCTGGCACTAGCACCCATCTTGTTATCTACCAAAAAAAAAGAGAGAATTATCTTAGGAATATAAACTAACCCAATTGCATGATAACATGTATTATAGCAATAACATCAAATGCAAAAGAAATTGAAACAGAGTTTACACAGGAATCATGGATAAGAAGTTACAGCTTATAAGGTGCAAATCTGAGTACCTGAGGTGCAACTAAACGACGAGGAAAAAGTTCTTCATGTCTCTGTGCACAAAACTCCCAAGACAATATCTGCGAAACAGAAAGTGTCAATAGGTTATTCCCTACATTACAGCAATAACTACTGCAAAATGTGAAACAGCTTTTCATTTGACCTTTAAGTCCTGAGTGAATATGATGCGAAGCTGACCCTCATGAACAACACGAAGCTGCTCATATACACTCTCCTGAACTGCTTTTCCATACTCCAACATCATTATTCCAGAAGGAGATCTATACTCACGAGGCAAGTCCAAAAATAGAAGCTCATCAAATACTCCACTGCCAAATTTGATTTCATTAAGTCTGGGAATTACTTCAAAAGTTGCCACTGTAAACATGAGAGTAATTAGTTAATCAAAATCCAGTAAGTGGTTAGATGCTAAGTTGCAAGATGATTATAAGTGATTTTTGAAGTGAAAAAATAGATCAAAGCCGCAGGCACAGGGCATATGTTCTCTAACTAGTCAAACAATATAAGGGTTTTAATAATGGAGTCTATAAATCCAGAGAATGTTACGATACAATACATATTAACTTCAAACCATTGGTATATAATGCATTGTCCAATTGAGAGGACGAGAAATGATTCTAAAAGTCATAACCCTAAAAATTCAAGAAATTCCATTTCCATCTTCAGTCCACTATGTCAATATATGGAAAGAGAAAAATGATATTCTATAATCATGGAAGTCTGAAGGAGATAAAACTGAAAATCAATGAAAAGAAAGCAATGAATTTACTACGAAAGGCATTCTCTAACAAACACAAACTAAGGAACATCTTTTTCTCATATCCTATTTCTAAAAGGTAATTCTACCAAATTAACTAAAAAGGATATTCAGTTCAGAATATAGGAAATGCTCATAAATCTCTTACCAAATCCCCTTCCAGACTTAGACCCACAAATGTCACACTGCCAGGCATCCTGAAATTTACATGCAAGAAAGTAAGAATTTTACATATTAGAAGACAAGCATGTAATTTAAGAAGCAAGGTGATGGATAGTATTATTTATACAAGATAGAGAGAAATAGCACAAAGACTAACCATAGCTGCTTGAGGGAAAACACCAAGTGCATGACTTCCAACATTATCATACTGTGATAAACACCACCTTTTCTTTGCACGAGGAGAATAATACTCTGCGACAAATTTCCTCCAGTATGCAATAGTATTGTCCTACAAAATAAGTAGACGTAACAGGATTCAAAACAACTTTGAACCGCAGCACTTACTACGTTGAAAATGTGTTGATGTCAAGACTGTAACAACAAGATAATTGAGCATGCATAAGAGCATATACTAGATTTCTACACTAAGTTAAAAATGAGATAACTTCATGACAGCAACAACAAGATAATTGAGCATGCATAAGAGCATAGAGCAGATTTCCACAAAAAAGAAAGCAATCTTATTAGGATTGAAACTGTTAAATGAAACCAATTAAAATATGAGACTTAGCCACAAGAAGCAGTAGATAAAAACATTAACTCACAGGTGGCCTTTGACGTTGGTGATATAGGTATTGCATTAGCCGGCGAGCACATACACCACCATCAAAGGGACGCTTCATTGCAGCTATTTGCTGAATGCCCTGCTGTTGCAATTGCTGCCTCAAATGCATTTGTTGCTGCTGTTGCAAGTGGGCTCTCTGCAATGGTGGCATTGACTGCAAAATTTTTTGCTGTTGCCTAAGTCTCTGCTGCTGGATCAAAGCTTGTAATTGAGGGTTTTGACCTTGCAACAGCATGGAATCCTGTCTTTGCAACAGCTGTTGCAACACCTGCTGTGGCAGAACGTCTTCTTGCTTGATATCTAGTCGAGGTTTCTTCTGCACCTGGGATAGATTACTAGGGTCTTGCAGGAAGGACCCTGGGACTCGTGGACCCATGGGAAGTGAAGCTTGCCCAGTTTGTGATGGGGGCAAAGATGTAGCACTTGAGGCCCCTTGCTGCAGCTGCTGACTCTGCTTCATTTGTTGGACACTTGGGTCTTGATGAGAGCCCTGCTGGCCTACAGAGGACCCATCAATGACCGATGAACCTGAGATGCTTATATTGTTCGAAGAAAACGACATGGGTGATGCCGGTAAGCGCATAAATGAATCTGTATTAATGCTAGCACTTCTCTGCAAGTGGGCACCTCCTGAAAATGCCGAATTTGCATCTGTTACCAAAGAACTTGCCCCAACACTAAGTCCTGAGTTTGCCAAACCGTTCAGCACATCACTGTTCATGTCCCCCAAAATCAGACCCAGATTAGGATGCCCAGTTCCAGGAATTGAATTAGATGAGTTCTCATAAGGTGAGCTCAAGTGAGAGTTAACTACAGCCTGGGACTGCCCATCTCCTCGGAAGAAAACTCCAGAGCTTGAGGAAGATTGGGTTAACCCTCCAGCCATACGAGAAGATGCCATTGGAGGCACCACCCCCTGGTGGCTGGAGTCTAAATAACTTTCCAGAGCCAGGCCTTTCTAATAATAAATACGCCCTCAACAATTTGTTGCAGAGATCTATAAACAACGTATAATAGAGAAACAAGATAACAAAAATTAGAATTCGAATTGCATGCGCTTCAAGAGGACAAAGTTAAAATTTTTCAAACAGCATTCCACTCAGATAAATCAATCAAGACTGGAAACACTGAAAAAAAGCCCCAAAAAATTTCCAAGAATAATCCCCACAATTTTAAGGAAACAAACTTCCCTAACTGTCCCCTCCGCTGCCACCCCACACACACACACCAAAATAAAACCCTAATTTTGGCAACTTACTAAACCGAGAATGTCTAACTATAATACTAAAAACCTAAAATCGCTGCACTCTAAAAGCACATATCAGAGATCAAATCACTCTACTACTCGAAATTTAGATTAATCAAATTTTAGTCCCAAATTGATCACACACATTGAAAATCCCATAGTTTAATCAAACTCGAATTAGAAAAATGACGAGCCCAAGCAGAACCAACAGATTAACTAAGGACTTAATATCAAGTTAAACAACAAGATCAAGAAATAGCAAGCAGGAATCAATTCAGAATAAAACAAATTTTACAGGAAAAAACAGTAAACTTTCATGGTTTGGAGATCGATCAAAACATATTCGAGCTAACAAAATCAATAAACTACTTGAAGTAAAAAAAAAAAATTGATTAAACAAAAATTAAATAAAATAAATTACTAATTAAGAAAAAGAAAAGGAAGCTACTAACCTCAAAATCGCGAGCTGGAAAAGAAAAAAAATACGAAAGCAAACGTTACTTTTTTCTTTTTAATTTTTATTACTTAATTTGGAAAACTGAAAAAATTGGTAGAGAAGGAGAGTTTTCAAGGAGGCTGTTTATATACCTAGCGGGAATGGCAGAGAGGGAGTTACCGGCTGCACCGGTAATTTTGCCCTCTGTCATTGAATGTGTCAGGTTTAATCAATGACACGTGTCCCCGCAAGATATCCCGACGAAGTCGGGTTTGGTGGGACAGTGGTGACGGGAGCCCGTGGAACAGGTGGCAAGATCTCCTTCGTTGATTTCAAGGCCGCCTATGATAGATGGTGAGGATATCCTATTTTAGGTAGGTCAATAGGGGGAATGCCGAAGTTGTCCGCAACAATTTGACGTTGGGTACAGATTTTGTTTAATCCGACCCTTCCATGTTGTCTGATTCCAAGGAGAAGTATGACGTGGCAGCATCTGATTGGGTAGTAAAAGTGAGCGTTTTGAGATTTGGGCCTACAGGAGTGTGAGCTCGGGATTTCACCGTGTACAGAAACAAACAAAGCCCCGTGTGGGTTTTGCCAGAGTAAAGATAAAAATATCTTTTAATTTTTGTGTTAACACGGTTGAAATTGTTTAGGATTTCATTTATAGTTCTTTTAATATTATTTTGTAATTAATTAATCATTAATAAAAAGTTATATAAAAATTCGTCATTTAAAAATACAAATTTTACATTAATTTTTTATATTAAATTATAATTAATTATATTAAAATAATTATAAATAATATATTTTTAATTGTTTAAACATATATGATTATTAATAGCGGAATAATTTATAGATGTTTTGCGTTGGAGAAGCAATGATACCGTCACACGTCTGTCACAGCCAATAAAACACGTGAACATTATTTGTGTTTTCTCTATTGGTTTCCTACACTTACTAATTTAGCAAAAGGTAGAGTGGGTAGAGTTTAAATGGCCCCACTGCTTATGCTTGCAGTCATTATATATGCCTTTTGGAGACAATACATTTATATGTACTTAATTAATAATTAAAAAGTTTTTGTTAATCAAAATACTACAATATAATTTCTTGGTTAATGTTAGAATTAAAATTGTTAATATTGTATGGGACGACATTTCAATTTTTTTAAATGTGATATTTTGATATCAATTATTTTAGCATATGATTTTCTGATTTTTTGATTTAATATAAATATATTTATAAATATGCATGAATTTATATATTATAATACTATTAATAATTTACAAAATAAATATATAATATTTTCAAAAAATCAAATAAATAAGTTCAAAAATATAAAAAATAATATTATAAAATTTTCATAATATTTTTAAATACTTAATTTGAACATATGATATTTAAGTATTTTTTTATACAAATATTAAGATAAAAACAAAGAAATAAAAAAATTAACCTTAGTTTCATGATTGTTAAACTTTAGAAATGAAGTACAATTAATTTTTTAAAAGAGATTAAAATACTTATGAACCCTTATTTGAAAAAATAAGTTACTAAAAAAAATAGAAAAACTTAATTTTTAAGGATTATTTTATTAATTAATTTGATTTTTATTAAATTAAAAATAATCAAATAATAAAAGACAAATAAAAATTATAAAACATGTTTTATAGTCACATATCAATCGAAACAAATTAATTTATCAAAATTTATCGATATTAACTTAAATCATAAAAATAATAAGTATTATTTAATATTAAATTTGATACAAAAAATATTTTTAGATGTATTATATTTTGATATAATTGAAACATATCGATTGATACAATTGATATCAAAATGAAATTAATAACTACGGTTAGAATTCAAACTACATATTAATTATTAATACATAATTAAAATTAGTTTAAAGTATCACAATCAAGAGAATCACCGATCCATTGAAAAATACCATCTTTTATGGATCATTTCCTTCTTTTCGGCCTTCGTTTAGCCCAAATAACAAAATAAGTCCTTGGGCCCAAGAAAAGCAAAACCCATGTTAGATTAGGTCTATTATTTTGCACGTTACTTTATAGATTTTTAAATTTTGTAAATAAAAATTAAAATATTGTCACATCCATTTTTAATTTATTATATTATTATTATTATTATTATTATTATTATATAAAATATACAAAAACTTTAAATAAAAAAATTTATTTCGTAGATATCATAGAGTTTTTAAATTTTATCAATAAAGTTAAAAGTTGTTGCATAATCTATTAAAATATATTAAAATAATAATTAATTAATAAAAAAACGCATGCTAATATTTCTCATCTATGGGTTTACAAAGTCAAACCATGCATAAAATAATAACCAAAAGCATAAAAAAAGAAAAAAAATTCGAATATTAGAGCCCAAATAATGAAAAAAAATTCGAGCCCAAACATTTCAGCCCAAAAACTCAAATTTCGGCCCATCTTCGCCTCAATCTCTGGTCGGCAGGACAATTCCCAACAACAACTGATTCTCTCTGTGCTTAGATTCACTCTGGGTTTTCCTGGCTTGGACGAATCCTATTTACCTAAATGGATCGGGTAAGGGATTGGCTCCCTCATATTGAACCACATGCTTAGATCCGTCTCTGTCACCACTTCGCAGCCGGTAATTGCCTTCTCCATCCTTCTTGCAATTTAGCTTTTTCGATTTTGAAATTTTCCCTTTTTTTTCTTCTTTTGGTGTGTAGAGATCGGAGGCTTTAGGTATTTCATTGGTTGAATTTTCGATAACACTTCCTTATCTTGGTAAACCTCTTAAGGTCGTAATTTTTTCCAAATTTGTTGTTCAGTTTTTTAAGGCAAATTTAGATTTAACGTTTGTGGTAATATATGTAGCTCCGATACATCAAACGACTCTGCCAGAAGGTGCTGAGTAAATCATTGTAATGTAACAAAATTAGACATTTAAATTCGTGTATTCGTATAGTGTCTATTTCACGTCAAGTATACTAAAATTTTGGTTTCACAATTGGCATCCAGCCAAACATAATATTTTTTTGTCAAAATTATATACAGGTCTTAGTTAAAATTCTAAACCGTGTTTTTGTTTATATCTTTTTTTTTTTCTTTTTTTTTTTTCATATGGTATCAATTTTTGTCTAAAATTGCTAGTTCTACACAAAATCTGTCCGTTGCTTATAAGGAAGATTTGGTTTGGGCAACAATGTGTTTTATTGCGAAATACAAACACCACCTCTGTGGTAAAAATCCCCAATCCACTACAAAAAAAAAAAAAAAAAAGGGGGAATTTAAAGCTGCTTTTCTATTGAGTTATTGACAATTTAATTTGCGGTGGTTTATCATCTGTGAAATTTTGTAGTTGATGTTAACGCAAGGTGAATTATCTATACTCGGATATTGGAATTTGCCAGATGGCCTATCAAAAAGGTGATGTACTTGATTGGTTTAAAAGTAATATAGAACAAACTGGTCTGTCTGATTCAACAGACACCCTCTATTTCCCTCAAACTGCAGGTAAGCTTTTGTTTTAAAGGGAAATAATCTTACACAATGTGTGTGATATTTGAAATGATGAATAATTAGCTACTAAGAACGTCATAATACTAGCAATTGTATTGTTGATCTCTGTGGCTATGCCTGGTTTCTTGCTTTCTTGTTTCATTGGACCCACCAAGACTAGGAAGCCTCATGATGACAGTTATCCTTGCTGATAAAGTCTGGTTGTGGTCATGCTATATACTTTGGTTCAACTCCAATTGGCTGGCTGACCTTGACACTGTAACTATCATTCCCTCTTTGGCTCCTAATGGAACGGGAAAATAATTTACAATGATCATTGTGATTACCTTTTTTGAAGTGAACATGTGTTTGGTGACGTAGTAGATAATCTAAAAGCTTATAATAATAAATGGTGTCTGCCTGGGCGATGAAATGTGAATTATTGCTAATATACAGGTGCAATGTTTTCCTTTCAGTTATGGCTCTTTAAACTGTTCGGTCTGGGTCTAATGTCAAGATTTCGTCATTATTTCAGATTCTGGAAGATGCGTCATCAATGTTTCTGGATCCAAACCCAACTGCCAATGAGACAAGCATGAGATATGCATATAGCGAAAAAGATAAGAGCCTGGATAAGAGCCGTTTCAAACAAATTTAGAAGGAAGAACTAAGAACATGCATGTAACTTACCTACATTCTGTTAATTTGCTTTACATTGTTCACTGAGCTATAAAAGTAAGTTGATAATAGAGCATGATATTTAGATGCCGAACCTGCTTCACATTGTCCTAAACTGCTGAAGGCACAATTATATCAACAACTTCTGTCTCTTTTGACTGATAGAATTCAATTGGATCAAAATGCAATGACTGAGGAATGTTTGTTACATCAAATGAGAATGATTTAGTGGAATCAGAATGTTACCTGATATCATTCATCATGGGAATTTCTAGAGGCACTTCCATATCACACACCTAATTTAGAAAATGAAACTATTTCAAGTTGAATTCAAAGGCAGGCAATAATAAAGCTAGTAAAATTATTAGACATGAAATACTCAAGAATCCAATTAAAAAAAAAAAAACACACGCTTTGGAGAATCAACGGCAGGGATATATTACTTGATAAAGACAGGCATGGGGACATGAAGGTCCCACCGTTGATAAGCAAGAAAGAAGAGTCAAAACGATGATGAGTTATTATAGATATTAATTTTATCCTGATAGAATTTGGTCAATTGTGAAGCTCTTAGAATCCAACATTTCTTTAATTTTAGCAAGTTTTTTAAAATAAAAAATTAAACCAATTTGACCAAAATGTTTTTGGGTTAAACTTGATCAAATCTAATCAAATTTAGTCAAAATCGATTAAATTTGACAAAATTTGAGTCAATTTTTAAAATTCACAACTATTTGGAATCAGTATGACTTAAAATTGAGATTTATGGTTTTAAAGTACTAAAACCTTGAGCGCACTTACAGAAAAGCAAAATTACTAAACTACCTTTAAGGAGTATTTTGTAATTTGACTTTTTTGAAATTAGATTTTCGTAAAAACTTTCAAATCATGATTAAACATTTTTTTATGATATTTGATGCAATTAAAATCTTGGTTGTATATTGGTAAGTGTGAAATTATCAAAATATTCTTTAGGAGTAATTTTATAATTTGACTTTTTTAATGTCAGATTTTCACAAAAACCTTCAAATCTTAATGTTATATTATTTGAGAATTTTTTATGCTTTAAAATAAAAAAAAATGAATAAAAGACCTTGGTTCTCCAAGCAAGTTGCATATAAACGAAAAACTTTCTAATAAGGGGTAGATAGGTCTTTTCACATGATTTCAGCAACATTAAAAATGCAATCTTTGGTCATGAGTATTTTGAGCCATAGGATGATCTTGAGGGGCTGGATCCAATGGTGAAAAATGGCTCATTGCATAACAAAACAAGAGAGAAAGAATGTCCATTAGATGGAAATTTGATCCAAGGGTTTGCATGACTTGTGCATTAGATATTTATGTTTGATTAAGGGCTGGAAGGAAGGAGAAGGCAGTTGAGAATTTAATAAAAAAAAAGTAGAGGAAAAGAAAACAATATAGAAAAATTCTTGGAGAGCTTTGTGGAGGTATAATTCTTACAATATTTTTCTTTGCATTTCATTAAATTCCATTGCATTTCATATTGTTTATCTTTGAATTTTTTTATTTTGGTGAAGAAAATTCATAATTTTCATCTCTTTTAATCCAAGCTTGAATTAAGATTTCATCCAACTAAATAATAGTTTAGATTGAAAGTAAAAGGATCAAGCAACATTAACACAAAGTCAATCATTGTTGGCCATTTGGAGGTTCGGCCAACACCATATCACCATGGCCATGCCTCATTTTGGTTCTCTTTAATCTTTTTTTTTTTTTTTTTGCTTCTAATGATGTTTGTGATGATTAAATTGTTAGTTCGTTTGGTATTTACATTAATTTTGATTAATTTAATAGTATAAGTTTGGTGTTTGGTTATATGTGTTTGTTTTCATGGTTTCTTCTTTGTTTAGTTTGCTAAATGTTTGATAAAATTTCATGCATGATAAAAATGTCTTTATATTATGGTATTATGAGGTTTTGATGCATGATTTGAGTAAATAAAATGATGGAAGATTGTTGATGTTGCCATGGAGTTTTTGGCCAAGTCATTCCATGCTTAGCTGAAACTTATTATTTGTAAAATAACCAAACATTGCTTGTTTTCCATATGTTTGTTTGTGTTCTTATTTTATTCTTTAAGTTTTCTATGTATTTGATCAATTTTCCAAGAAATAAAAATGTTAGATTAGTGGATTTTTAGATTGTTTTATGATTATTTGCATGAATTTCAAAAGAAAAAAAAGTGGTGGTACATGTCTTTTAAATTCTTTAAAACCTTAGTATTTGATCCATTTTCATCATGTTATTGCATGTATGTTTAGTTTGTAATATATTTTAAAAAATGCCTAGATTTATAATAAGTTTGTTCCATAATCATGTATTTTTCATGCATTAATATTTACATTTTTATCAATGGCATTGTTATAATTTATTTTTGTCATGTGTATTTTACATGAAACCCAAAATTTCAAACCCCAAATCCTAAATCCCTAATCCAAACCCTAAATCCTAAACCACCATCCAAACCCTAAATCACCATCGAAACCCTATAACCTAAACCTTAATCCAAACCCAAAACCAAAACTCAAAACCACCATCCAAACCTAAAGCCCAAAACCTAACCCCTAAACCACCATATAACCTAAACCCTAACTAACTATAAACCCCTAAATCTTAACGAAGACCCTAAACTAACCTTAAACCCTAAACCAAACTTAAAACCTCATACCTTAAATCTAAACTCTAAACCCTAAACCCTAAATCTCAAATCCTAAACTCAAACCCTAAACCCTAAATCTTAAACCAAAACTTAAGCCTTCAACTCTAGACCAAACCTTAAACCTAAATCTTAAATCTCAAACCCTAAACCTTAAATCTAAACCCTAAATTAAACCTTAAACCTTAACTTAGACCCTAAACCTATTTTAAATCCTAAAAACCCGAACCAACCTTCAAACTCTAAAACCAAACTTTGACTTTATTTATGCATTCACATATCATTTTACTTTATTGTTACATGCATTCATATTTTGACATTCATGTTTAACCATCATGCATTCATCATTGTTGTTATGTTTAAGCATATCATGTATATATTTTCAAAAATGAGTTTTCAAAAAATAATATTTTTTTAAATAAAATGATATCTCAAGTAAAAATAGCTTTCAAGATTTGATTTAAATATAAGAAGCTCTCAATGGTTATCATTTATGCAAGATATTATCTCGGTTTTATGGGACAATTTGAAAACTCTTAAATTAGAAATATTTATGAAACTCTACCTAACTATAAAAGAGTTAAAGAGGTGTCTCAGTGTTTAAGACGTTTTCATCTTGATAAAAAAAATGCTTTGTTTCCAAAAAAAATTTTAAATGGGTGTTAATATTTTCAAAGGAATTAGTTTATAAACATTAAAGTGGGACCATTTTTACTGAAATCTATTGATAACATACAATTAATTGATACCATCTTTGACATGTGCTATGAGGGTATTAATATTTTTTCATACGTAACTGACTCTTAGACTCAATTCTGATTTTTGTAGATCGTAAAATATTTTTGTAATAAACTTTAAATTTGTTTTAATTTTTTTATTAAAAGAAAAAATTTTTAGATAATCAATCACACCTTAAAAGAAATTAGTGACGACTTTTCAATTTTGTTTTTATTAAAAATGATTTTTATCACCCCACTCGTTTTTTATTCTCTAAGTTTAGTGGTTGGGTTCCTTAAACCTGAACGTTGCGACAACTGTAATAATAATTAAATTAAAGAACCAATCTATAAAAAGAGAGAAGTAAACCTTGCAATGATAGGTTTTTAAAGGGCCAAACCATTTAGAAGTAGAGACAGTCCCAATTATAATGTCATCCCAACCATCATATTATACCTCCATTTCCTTTATTATCTTCATCTTTGACTTATTAGGCTTACCCGTCCACACTTTTTGTCACAACAAATAATACTACAACTTAATAAAAACCACTAATATTTGCCCAGATGCCACTATTGTTATGTTTTAAATAGAGTAAGGTTGTACAAGTAATGTGAACGTATCTATTTATATCCAATTTTAGTCTTTTTAAAGAATAAAAAAAATTTTCAAATATAAATTCAATAATCATTAAAACTTCTGACATTTTATTATAAAAAAATAAAATTTGGATTTTTTATTTTAGATCAGTTAAATTTTAAATATTTTGTTCAATTGAATTCTTAAACATTTATTTTTACTACAATTAAGTCTTCGACAGACAAAAATGGATATTGGCGTTTAATTAATTTTCATCTAATAAAAGTTCAATTGATAAAAATCAATATTTGAGAATTTAATTAATTATAATAAAATTATAGGGGTTTGGATAATTATTGAATTTTTATTTGAGAGACTTTTTTTACCCTTTAGCTTTTTATTTATTTATTTATTTTATATCTCAATGTATTATTTCAAACAACCCAATAACTTGGTTTAGATCCAAGTTTATAGAGCAAGTATAAAGTTTGATAACTTCTACTTAGTATTGTTAAATTGACGGTTTATCTTAGTATTGTTAAATTTATGATTTACCTCCTATATATTAATTTACTAATCAACTTAAATACTTACATATATATATATATATATAAAATAAGGATATAAATCAATTTTATCCACATGGGTTAACTAGTTACATTGACAACAACATGAGCTGTATATATATTTTGTTTCATTCAAAATTCCATGCTTGTGAGGGGTATTTCGAAAGTAGAATATGAATGCATCAAGCTGATCTAGAAGACTAAATCTTTAAGATCTTTTGTGAAAAAGATTAAATCAAGATAAAATTTGTAAATATCTCTAATCGTATTATAAAAATATATATAAATCAACTTCTAAAACTTTAAACTTCACTGTTGGCAGCACGTAAAATCCTATGCCCTTGATTATCTTATAATGAACATGCCTTTATTCTCGATTTTGATGTGGTTGAAAGAGCAATGGTGATTGAATTCAAAACAGAATTAATATAATATTTTTAAAATGTAACATTTAATATGTCTAAAATTTAAATTTTAAAATTTTTTTATTATTATAAAAAATTAGGATATAATTAATGGAAAATTTTGTTTGTATAAAATTAATTTTC